GCCAGTGAAAGGCCAGATCCCCAGGCTGTGCTGACCAATATGGTAGTCACTAGCCACATGTGGCTATTTAAATTTAAAGAAAAGTAAAATTAGAAACTTGGGTCCTTAGTTACACTAGCTACACTTCAAGTGTTCAATACCCGCTTGCGGCTACTGGCTATCACATTGGACCACTCAGATACAGAACCTTTCCATCATCACGGAAAGTTCTGTTGGACAGTGCTGATCTAGAGCACTGATGAAGAGAAGCATAGAAGGCTTTGATGATGAGGGAAGGAGTGATACTCTGCAGGAAGTGAGTTTCTGCCCCATCCATACCAGGCTGGGGAGACTTTAGAGAGTATTTCATTACTCTCCAAATTTTTTGATCCAATGTCCATAGATGCAAGGAGTCCCCAGGTTCCTGTCTCAGCCCCCAGCCCCCGCTCCCAGCCAAGTCATTTTGAAGCTAGAGGCTGAAAATCATGAATGGCAGTTGGACAGAAGGATTTGGCTGCTTTTTTTTTTTTTTTAAGATTTTTTAAATTTATTTGATAGAGACAGACAGAGAGGGCGCAGAAGTAGGCAGAGCGGCAGGCAGAGGGAGAGGGAGAGGGAGAAGCAGGTTCTCCGCTTTGAGCAGAGGGCTCAATCCCAGGGCTCGATCCCAGGACCCTGGGATCATGACCTGAGCTGAAGGTAGATGCTTAACCCACTGAGCCACCCATATACCCTGGATTTGGCTGCTCTTATGGTCAACTCCTTATTTACCCTACAGCTTCTTAATCTTCAAGCTAAATGTCATGGTCTTTGCTAGGAAAAGCAGGTTGAGTGCTCCCAGACTGAGGCTACCACTCTGTCCAGGAACGGCCTGCCCATCAGCTGAGCATGGCCGGATGGTGGTGGCTCCTGGCCTCTTCTCACTGAGTCACCATGGCTGAAGTACTCTGATGTCAGGACCTCCTTTCTAGGTCCCTGTCTGTGCCTCAGGATCCTGTTCGAGGTTGGAGAATGAAATCTCAGGTACACTCCAGACTATGTGGGTCAGTGTGGCCATTTTTCTCCAAAAATGAGAGGATCCAAGAAAACCTTGAACAGTAAAGACTTAACCTGTGAGTCTTGAATGACACTTAACTACCTGGTGTAGGTGAGGTCATTTTGTTCTCATACCAATCTTCTCTCCCATCTACGTTCTAATACTTCTTACTCTGATTTTGTCTCCTTATTTTTCCCCAGAAGGTTTAGATGACTCCTGAATTTACAAATACGTTTCCTAGTCAGTCCCTCCAAGATCTTTTGTTTCTGATGCTCCATTGCAGCAACTTCCTCCAGAAAATTATCTCAACAAACGGGCAAGAGTCGAGTCTCCAGATTGTGGGGATATGAGGAGTTTAAATCAAAGTGTATCAAGGGAACCCTCAGGTTTGGAGGTAAGCAGCTGGGAAGGGAATCAAGAAGGAGTCCAGACTAATTCTTCATCGTGGCCAAAGGAGCATGTACAAGAGTCAAGGTTTTAAAGTGAGGTTAGTGACACAGAGCAACGAATAATCATTCCTCAGCTGCACACGATGAATTCTGGCTTATAAATATGATCTTATTTTGATCCCTTCTACACTCCTATGAGGTAATAAGGGCAAGTGTCACTGTCCCTATCTTACAGATAAGGAACATTGCACAGAGGGTAAGAATTCACTAAGAATTCCTCTACACCCAGAACATTAAACTAGAATTTCTGGGGATAGGGTCATCAACTTTTCAAGCTCCCCAAATCATATGCAGCCAAACAAACCAACCCGCTTGTTCAGAAAAGTGTGTCTGAAAATTTAATATGCGCAGAAACCATCCATAAGGTCTTGGTACACCAGCCTGAGATTCTGCATTTCTCAATCTCTCTCAAAAATACAACTGGTCTGAGGACCACACTCTGAGTGTGTCTGACTCCAGAAGATTTTCTCCAGAAAAATCCAGATACTTATACAGATTTCAGGGAATCCTTTTTTTAATAAGAGTTTATTTATTTATTTGTCAGAGAGAGAGAGAGAGAGAGCACAAGCGGGGGGAGCTGCAGGCAGACAGAGAAGCAGACTTCCTGCTGAGCAAGGAGCCCGACGCAGGACTTGATCCCAAGACCCTGGGATCATGACCTGAGCCGAAGGCAGATGCTTAACCGACTGAGCCACCCAGGTATCCCAGATTTCAGTGAATTCTTATGTATGTGTATGTGTTGGGAGCATGGGACATCAAGACAGATTATCAGTGTCCTATTGAATATTCTGTGTCTCGTCACGAAATAGCAAAGCCTGCTGTAGTTATACTCAGAGTCACGATAAAAAGAAAAATCCTCTTCATACATGACTTGGAAGATAATTTCTTCCTCCAGTGGTGGCCATCCCACACTCTCAAAGAGAGGGAAAAGTTGGTTAGAGGAATCTCATATTCCTGTGATGATTATGTTTGATCCGAAATGAAGGGACTCTTTCCCTGAGGTGTCTTTTGTCTTATCGGACTGTGGTTTATTCCTGCACTTTGCAGATGATGCCTCCCCTTAGAGTTTTCTCCTAATTATGATTCCGCATCCCTGTGACACTGATCAATGACAGCCAATGTTCTCTTCTTACCAAAGATTTGATCAATCACAGATGTGCCAGTACAAACTTAAGTCATTCCTATTTGAAAGGTGAAGAGTGTGTTAGAATCATAATATTTTAATGCTGGTATTAGAACAACTCCTAAATCCATGGTTCTGGCTTGTCTGCATAAGGAGGAACGTAGAACACTGACATGCATGTTGTTTTCTTGCACTGTTGACCCAAATGAAATGTTCATGAACCTCATTTTTAAGCATATCGGATTTGTCGTTTCTGCCAATATGATGACATTAAGATCTCCCAGGAAAATTCAAGTACATTTTAGAGTAAGAAAGTCCTTTGTGTGTAAAAATACTAAAGCTAAATTATGGTATTCTTTCTAACATAAAAGCATTTTTTTAGAGGACTGTGGATGAAATTGTATAAAACACCTTTGATATGTTTAAGGGCTTGGTTTGCTAGGTTTGTATTTAGTGCTCATTTTGAAACAGGGCAGATTTCAAGAACATAACTTCAAATTACGTAAGTTTCCATCAGATAGCCAGGTCTAGTGTTTCTGGAGCAGAGTTTGATTTTTATGACAAAAGAAGAGAATGTTATTGTTGGCCTTTTAAGGTAAGCAGACTCATTCTATGGCTGGGCTCTGACTCAGGCAGCTGGAAAATACATGTATTAGCGTAAGAGATTATATAACCAGTATAATGATCAGAATGCACTGCATTATGCGCCTATGTCTTCATGGCCAACGAATTAGAACCGTTGGCACAGAATCCTAAACCTGTGGTTTCGAGGACAATAGGTATTGAAAGTAAAATTGCAGTAACTACTGGAAGGAGCTAAAAAGAACAGTACATTATTACAAAAGACAAAATGTTTTCGGGGGGATGTGTACAAAACTAGGTAAAAATAATGGGTAGACAGACATGGAAAGCACTGTGGAAATGCATTGAAAACAAGCACGTCAGCTGGTCAGCAACATCCAAGTGCACATCCACTTCGTTGATAGTCTTGGTGCTTTTCAAACATCGTGATGATTCCAACTATGCTAACATTTGGAATATAATTCAAGACCTGCGCCAACAAGTCATTTTATTTAAAATGCTTGTGCTGAGTTTTGGGGATATCAATGTAAGTTTCTCCTATATATAAACGTTGGTTGAAAATGTTGAGAGATCCATTTTATGATGTTTGGGTATTGTTTTAGATTTCTGTCCCTGCTACAACCAATTATTGCAAGTTTAATGGCTTGCAATAACACACACTTGTCATCGTACAGTTCAACAGTTAGAAGTGGATCCATGTTACTGGCTGGAAATCAAGGTGTCAAGAGAGTTGTGCTTTCTGGAGGCTCTAGGGGAGAATGGTACCTTCCCTCTTCCAGCTTCTAGAAGCTAGCCACATTCTGTGGCTCATACCCTCTTGCCTCTTCTTCTGCCTTTAAAGCCAGCACAGCAGAGACATCTTTCTCACCTGCATCTCACACCTCCTCCCAGACTCTCCTTTTCTATCTCCCTCTTCCACGCTTGTGATTACACTGGGCCTACCTGGATAATCTCCCTATTAAGGGAGCTGATTAGCAACCTTAATTCCATTTGTGATCTTAATTTCCATTTGTCACATACAGCAACATATTCACAGGCTCTAGGGAAGATGACATGGACATCTTTGATATCCCATTATTCTTCCTTCTACAGGTATTAGAAACCAAAGTCCTGTATTTCAGGAAAATGTTACATGAGATTATCTTCTGGGTATCCCTATACATAGTTTCATTGTTTTTCTTTAAACTCAGATGCTTTTATAAAGTAAAAAAATGGATCCTGAAACTCACTTTAACAATTGCGTAACTATAGTTGGCTGTTAAGCAGGGACTAGGACCTCGAAAGCAGTTTTCCCTGCTCCTGTGATATCTACCTGTGATCTGTTTCTGTACCGTTTGTCAGGGCTGCATTAACTAAGGATCACAGACTGGGCGGCTTAAACACAAATTAATTTTCTTATAATTCAGGAGGCTAGAAGTTTGAGATCAAGGTTCTGCAGGGCTGATTTCTTCCGAGGCCTCTTCCCTTGGCTTGGAGATGGCTGTCTTCTCCCTGGGTCTTCATATGCTCTTTCCTCTGTGTGTTTGTCCTCATCTCCTCTTCTTATAAGGATACCAGTCATATCGGGTTAGGGCCCACCCCAAAGACCTCATTTAACCTTAAGTACTCTAAAAACCCTGTCTCCAAATACAGTCACATTCTGAGGTCCTGGGGGGTTAGGACATCAACATATGAATTTGGAGCGGGGGACACAATTCAGTCTCTAACAATATCTAACAGATTTAATAATTAACCTGTAAAAGACTTTACGTTACTAGAGAACCACTCGTAAAAATAAATGGGGGAGGGGATACAACTTATACACAGATACTCACTGACAGTTACTCTCAGGTAGACTTTTTTTTCCTAAAAAAATGGTGATTTATTTTGCTTTAACATACAATGGTAAATACGGTGGGGTCATCAAGTTTTCCAAAAATTTTGCTGGGCTTACTTTACACAATTACAATACTAACGTAAGCTCATTAGTTCTTCCATCTCAATGCAGGAAAGGATCCAATTGATGCCTACTAGCAGCTTGGCTAAGAATGGACATTAAAATCAGACAATACACCGTAAATATAAAGTACTTTCCTCCAAATGTGTATAAAAGTTTTGAAACAAAAATCACTGCCTGCTCCACAGGACAGACAGTGTGGATTTTAAAAATGCTCCAGACCAGGAATAACATAACCCTGTGTAACAATACTTATAATACAGTTTAACAATATTTTATCAAAGACTTGTGCACTTGAGAATGAAAAAAAAAAAAAACTGAAGAAAAACAGTAGCCAAGGAACTGCACAACCAAAAAATGAAAATTATATAAAATATTTCCACCACTATTTAAATGCCAAATTTAATCAAGCAATAGTAGAAACAAAACAAAACAAAAACATCATAATACAACCTTCTGTTTAAAATAACAGCACTGTTCCGCCTCTTTTCCACTGAATTTTACATATGAACAGACTATATATACTGGTTTTTCAGAGAAACGTCCATTTGGTCTGTCACACCAGTCAGGCTCACACTGGATCCTCTCATCCTCTTCCCAAGGACGCACAACTCCGCGATGTTTCCGTATTTCCGACATTCCGGGTTCGGTGCAATGTCTCAAGTATAATACATCTCTCTCTTCCCCTTTACACAGTGCAGAGTATATGGGCTTCGGTTATGTAGATTCTCTTTTACTCCAGGTCACTGTCTTTTTCTAAATTCAAGGCGGTATTCAACGGAGTGCAGTAGTTGGGTTTGTCAGAAGGTACGTAGCCAGGCAGACATAGGCACTTGTAGGAGCCTTCGGTGTTGATGCACTTGGCATTCTTGCAGAGAGACATCCGGTTGTTCAACTCATCACATTCGTTTACATCTGCAATAAGCCAAACCACGCAGGTAAACAAGCTCTCCTATGACTCCGAGAGGAAATGTAACCTACAGCTTACCTGAGGCATCGAGGCATCCGGCCGGGACACAGTCTGGCGGTTCTCTGCTTTCCCCCCAGTAAACTGGATAGTCTTTCTCACTACTGTCTGTTGCAATCACATGCAAGATAAATACAACTTTCTAGGTCCGAGAGGTTCTAGAATTTTCTTCCCTGCTATTTAAAGCAACATGAACATTTGGCCGGCTTGACATTTTATAGTCAAAACTCAAAAAAGCTAGGAGAACTTTCCTACTTCTAAATTCCCTTCTGCAGGTACAGAAAAACCGTTCAGGTTTGTCGACAGGTATACACCGAAGAAAGAACCAAACAAGTAAGTGGAGAGCCCTCGAGGCAGCCTCTGGAAAGGCTCAAGTTACCTTCTTAGGTTTCTTTCCACAGAAAAGAAATGTACTCGCAACACCTGTAATAACCCAGGTTTACCTCTTTTCCAGACCCACCGCCAACGGAGACAAACAAGACTGAAGTAGGGAAGAGGGTTGCTGCCGGAGGGAGTAGAAGAGCCACAGAAATAGGAAAAAACCCGTAATTCAAGGGCCAGGCTCTAGAAGGTGGCATGGATCACACGAGGAAGAACAAATGCATGCTTACCAGTCTTTTAAAAATAGAAGGGATGGTCATGCGAGAGACAGAGAGGGAGAGGGAGTTTTAAGAGGAACGTTCTCCAGCATGATTACCACCGGAGTTATATTTTTTTCAGACATTTACACTCCTTATGCTGGTGTCAGGTATTGGGGGAAAACATTACTTGCTGCAGAGTCAAAAGCTGAATTTAGAAGAGTCAAACTAATTACCTGGAATGTTCTGTCCTTTCTTCCCGATGTACCACTCTATGAGTTCTTAAATGAGCGATCCGTGTTATTTTTTAAAATTGTGGTAAAATATACAAGACAGAAAATCGGCCATTTTAGCCACTTTTAAGTGGATCGCTCAGTGGCAGGAAGTACATTCACACTGTTGTGCAACCATCACCACTGTCCATCTCCAGAACTTCTCTCCTCTTCCCAAACCGATACTGCAGATCTATCTTAAATGTCCTCGACTATATGAGATCTGGCCACAGGGGATGTGAGGGCAAGAATAATCTGCCATAGGACACACATCAGCCTTACCAACACAGGTCATCTTGGCCATGTCCAAGTGATACCCATCGAAGCAGTCACAGGTGTAACCCTCCTGCACCCTCACGCAACGGCCATTCTCACACCCATTGAGGATGCCACATTCCTCAGCCTGCAACTCCTCAAAGCTATTTAAAAAACCTGGAAAGGAGAAGACAGGAGCCAGGTTAGAAATCTGCAGCCTCTGCGGTGCCTGGGTGGCTCAGTCAGTTGGGTGGTCAGCTCTTGATTTTGGCTCATGTCACGATCTGGGGGTCGTGGAATCAAGCTCCACGTCGGGCCCTGCGCTCAGCAGAGTGGCTGCTGGAAGATTCTCTCCCTCTCTCTCCCTCTGCCCCTCCCCTCTGCTTACACTCTCTCTCAAATAAAATAAATCTTAAAAAAAAAAAAAAAAAGAAATTTGCAGGCTCTTACACCATCTTTTAAAACTATATAATTATTAAGGTTATGGTTCATCATATATACATATTTCAGACACCTACTTCAGACGCCTTAAAGTTAGCAGTAAAATTTCAGGCTGAATATATCTGTACACAACATTACGCACGTGATATTAAAAACTCTCTCTATATTGTGCACGAGCAGCCCCACATCTTGAATTCCGATATTCCATATTAAAATCACAAAAAAATGCTAACGTATCGTTTTTATCTAAAATCCCAAATTTCCTGAGTTCTCAGTAGGGCAAGTGGCAGCACAACTTTCAGGACGGAACCACTGGAAGTCACTATCACAGTGTGGCAGACATCTGCTGGGAAGATCCATGGGGATTTCAGGCGGTGGTTTTTCACTTGGAGTTCCCCAAAGAGCAGTGAAAAGCCAGGCTGGTCTTGCCCTGTAAAGTCTGTTTGTTTGCTCTAGCTTTGGAATGAGCCTTACAAAAGGGCTCTCAGGAGATCAAAGGATAAAGACAGTAAAAGGGACTCGAAACATCCTGATAAATGAGAAAAGTACATCACACTTGTGCTTAGAAAGCCAAAAATCTTTTTCTTCGGGAAACAAAGAAGTCCTTGTTTGGCTCTTTTTATAGCTTAGATATCTTTAAACTGATTTAGAGCTAGGGTTTATGAATGTAAAAAGAGATCAAACAGGCATCAAGAGTGTTTAGCTCTCTTTCTAGAGAGAAAAGTTGTAAATATAAATCCACGGTGACACAGACACACTGTTGATATGGGCTCACCCCCCCTCCCCCACTTCTGAACCTCATCACGTATCAGCTTTAAAAAAAAAAAAAAAAAATCAAAATATGGCCATAACTCTCTACCTGGCCCTCTGAAGTAATTCTCCAGTGGAACTGCAGGGGGCAGCAAAATATCACTGCTTATGCAGGGCTGCAAGGTGTAACTCAAGTGATTTTAAAAAATTAACACATCCATGACAGGCCCTTTTAAAAATTTTGAAAGGGGAAAAAAAAAAAAAAAAAGAAAGGCCATCAAGACTATGTCCTTAGGGCCCCCAATCCAATTTGAGAAATACTTAAGAAAATGAAGTCTTAATCTATGAAAATATTTTCAAATTCCAGGTACTATGGCAAAATCATTTTGACTTTATAACTACTAAAAATTTCTATTATTACAGAATTTAAACGTGGAATTAAATTTTGAAAACTCCTACACATATACACATCAAGTAGACGTCCGAAAATACTTGTACAGGAGTCAGCAAAGTACAGCCCCCACTGCAAATGTGGCTGGCTCCCTACTTTTGTAAATAAAGTTTTATTAAAACACAGCTATACTCATGCACTGACATGCTGTCTGTGGCCGCTTTCGTGATATCCTAGCAGGGCTGAGTAGGCCTGCAGAGCCTTTTGCAGACCTGCAAAGTCTAAAAACTTTACTCTCTAGGCCTTTATAAGAAAAAACTGATTTCTGCTCTAGGAGTTTCTACTTTTATAAAATAGTGCCTTAACTAAAGGTACCCCCAGCTCTCAGTTCAATTTTCTTAAATAAGCAGAAGTCGGGAGATAAGAAACCTCAGCCCTCCCTCTGTGTTACTGTCTACCCAATACGATCATTTCTTTAGCAGGGCCAGAAAGTCCTTGCTCCTGGTCTGGGAAGGAGGAACTATTTCTCGTAACCTGTAGTAAGTTTAAAGGCCATTGATGTAGTCAAAGCTCAAGGTCTAAGATTTGCATCTCAGCTTCCTATGTTGCTAAAAAGGAAACTGATGTGACACCAACATGTTTATTTCTTAACATTTGTAGTGAATTAAAAAAAGAGTTTTAAAGCAACGTCAGCACTAAAAAAAAAAAAAAAAAGGTACACAAGCCAGAACATTTCAGCAGGAAGATTCCTGGAATCTGGACTCTATCTAAGGTGACAGGCGCTGTACACGGAGCCGCATGATGTGCCCCAGTTGAGTATAGCCGTAACCTGTTATTTTGAATTTATGGGGCAGGCCAGCTGGGCTTCCTTTCAACCTTAAGATCTCTTCTCCCTTTTTTTTTTTTTTTTAAGATTTTATTTATTTATTTGAGAGAGAGAGAATGAGAGAGAGAGAGCACATGAGAGGGGGGAGGGTCAGAGGGAGAAGCAGACTCCCCGCCGAGCAGGGAGCCCGATGCGGGACTCGATCCCGGGACTCCGGGATCATGACCTGAGCCGAAGGCAGTGGCTTAACCAACTGAGCCACCCAGGCGCCCTACCTTTTCATTTTTTTAAAGGTTAATGTCCATTGACCTGTAACATATTCATAGGTAAGTGCAGAAATTGTAAGTGCACAGTCTTATACCTGTCAGTGTATTAAGACACGTTTCATGAAGTAGTGCATCGTTGTATGCTGTGGATTAAAAGCAATAATCGAAGGTATTAGAAGTTAGGAGAGTGGTTATCCTTGGGGTGGGGCGGGGGGGGGGGGCCCTGGCTGGGAAAGGGCTTCAGGGGGTCTTCTGGATGCTGCTAATGTTCTACACTTGGGTGAGGGTTACACAGGTGTGTGTTAATCAACTTGGCTAGATTGATACAATGCTGTTTTCATGTAGATTTTGAAGCACTCTTAATTCTGCTGAATGATCAATTTATGCATCCATCAAAAAACCAAAGGTAGGCAAGGAAAAGAACGAGAAGGGAAGGGAACGAAGGAAACACTCTTTGACTCAGAATTGAAGTCGCTCCAAATGTAGCCGCAAAGCTTGGGTTGCTCCTCAGGAACCAGGTCATGGCTAGTGTGCTTTGTTCACAGGTAACAGGGCCCAAAGAAAGAAGAGGTTTTATTGTAGTCTGTAATTCAGCAGTGTCTCCAAAGTCCTAACTCTAACTCCCTGGTCTGCAGGGATTCCCTGCCTTGAAAATCTGGTGTGGCTTTGCCCACTGCAAGGAGGGACCCTCTGGAAGATGCAGACGAGGCAGCCACAATCTGCATTTCCCTATTCCCATTCTAGAAGTGAGGCAACCTATTCTTTACCAAGACGGCATTTGGAATTTGAGAAGCTGTGGCTTCCCCCAGAGAAACCTTTAGCTTGTATGGCCTCCTTATCCAAGACACTCCCGTTAACCGTCAGACATTTTTTTTTCTAAATGGGATCAGGGTTCACAGAGGCACACTCCACCTTCCACAGAAAAAACTCTGCCCGCAAGTCCCGGAGAAGCCGGCATGCATCATTCCTTACTTAGTAAGGTCCGCCACGAGTGGATTCTAACAATTTCTGACCAGAGGCGCAATTTTTTTGACCTCCCACTCTAAAATATCTGTAAAGATCAACTTGGCACAGTTAACATGTCATTTGCTTATGTGAAAAACGATGGCAATTATAACCAGGCTTTCAAGAAAACACTGCCGCTTATATTAGATCACAATGTAATGAGTAAAAAATGGTTTTGTTATGGATATTAGAAGATCTTTTTTTTTTTTTTTTTACTTTAAAGAAAGTAAACATTAACAGCATCCCCACCAGCATGCCAATAATTTGATCCAGTATCTCCCAAACTCAAGCATGCATAAGGCTTAAGCAGAGGGCGGGTGAAACTATTGGGTCTCACCTCAGTTTCCCATTCAGCAGGTCTAGAGTGGGGCCCAAAAGCTCACATTTCTGACAAATTCCCAGGGCTACCTTCTGAGAATCACTGAGTAACCTTTAGCCATAATTTTGCTTCAACATAACTGAAAAGTTTTGCTTACGGTCCTGAATAAAGTAGGGATCAGCTTCGGGAGCATACTGTTCGCTGAAGTCGACCAAGGCATCCCGTCCATATGGGCGCCGGCGTCCCGTGACGGGGATGTTACACAGCTGGGCATAGTCGTCTGAGAAGGAAATGACAAGCGGTGTGAGACATCATGGCCGTTTGCCAGCACCCGGACACGCCCCCTCCCAGCTCAGAGCGCCGGGCACTGGCCGGGGCCCTGTCCACCACACGCCCTGTCTCCCACACGTGTGCACGACCGATGTCAGACTTGTCTCCGTCCTCTTTACGGGCGCTGCGTTCACCCCCCACAGTGAAATGCTGGATAGCATAGCTAAGATTCTACACTTGGTCTACAAGACCAAACACAGCAGCTGAACATTTGGCAGAACGTGTTCCAGGAGAGTAAGGAACGGCAAAGTGAGCCAGCGTTCAGAGGGCTGTAGGCGTCCTGGAAGAATGACTTTACCTGCAACCACCAGGTGTTATCGCTGTAAAGGCAGAGTCACATTCTTACAGACAGGTACGTTTTTCACTCAGAAGAGACAGAACAGATGTACCTCGGGTGATCCCAAAATGACACAACCAAGCAACGATGCCAGTATTAGAACTATTCTAGTCCTACCCTCAAGGCCTGGTCGGGATGAACACGGCATTACAGTAACAACGAGGATGATCGTGATAGTGCAGTAACAGCAGGAGTAAGAGGAGTACTAACAGTCGTATGATGCTTCCTCTCTGCCAGGTACCGTTCTAAGCACTTACTACACATTAAGGCACTAAAATGCTCGCACCACCCTATGAAGAGACACCATTATCACCTCCATTTTATTGATGAAGAAGCGGAAACAGTGGTTAAGTGACAGCTGGTGTGAGGCGTTGGCAAACGTGAACTCAGTAATGAAGGTCCAGTGTGCACACTGAACATTCTGCCTCTCCTACCTATCTCAGCTCCTTTGAAATCCTCGCCTTTACCTCTTCCGTACCGCAGACAGATTCTTCTGCAGTTACCACTTTCCAGAGGCCATATTCCTAGTCTAAGCTGGGTCAGCCCCACGGCCACCTTCTTCTAAACTCTCCTGTCGTCTCCTCACAGGACCCAGCCAGTGCTTGGGATCTTGGTAGTCCTAGGCTCTTGCTTGAGTTTCGGAGTGGAGTTATGGGGCAAGGTCTAGAGAAGAAAGCTTTAGACGGGGTAGCTTTGTGTTCTGAATACATGTTGCATGGAAATATACTGCCCAAGGATTTATCTAGCAGATGGCGGAAATCCTGGGGCTCCCCAGACTTCAGCAGCTCTGCCAGAACTGGGGATTCCAGTCCGGAGGCCCCAGGACTGGATGGACACCCTCAGGACAGTCACACAAGGCCGACAGCCACACCTGCCTGGAGCGCAGATTGGGGGGAGTTTTCCTCTCTTCTGTTTCCTCCTGTGACGTATGAAACTAAAGAAATGCACTAGGGCAATAGTGTGAGCTCTGAACTCTCAGGCTTGCTTTCACCCCCCACCCCCACTTAAAGGAGGCAAAGGTGCGTGTGTGCGTGTGCACGAACACACATGCACGCACATACACTCACACAATTGTCTCTTGGAATTGCACAGAGGAAGCCTAAGGCCAGAAAAGACCCTGGACAAGTAGGATTATGGTTGCCCCTTTCTCAAATTCTCCTGGTGTGGTAGCATTCCAGGAATAGCATACGGACCCCAGATACCCTGACACTTCTGCATGACACCATTTCAGAAGAAATACTAATTTCATTAAGGAAATAGCTGAACCTGGAAAAAGATCCTCGACTCCCCCCACACCCCCAAATCCATACACAACTGAAAGCAGAGAGAATACAAATGGTTGTCAGACCTGCTTCAAGTTTGAAAAAGAATTAAGGATTTCCCTGTGAGAGCAAGATTGCCGAAATGTTTACAAGTTTCAAGAGCTGAGCTCATTTTCTCTCCTGACTTTATTCTGTATGTTCATTGTACATCCGAAAGAGAGACTGTGCGGTATTTTATATCCAAGCAACGGCTGTGATCCAGATATTAAAAACAAACTCATGCTCTTATTTTGTAAGACTAAATCCAGAAGTGGCTGAGCATGGTCCTATCCGACATCTGCCTGCGGGAGGCCTCGCTGAGACTCTTGAGGGTCCTGAGCTGTCCAATGACATAGGGCCGTCTGGGGCTGCCTGGCCTGTAGGCCTGGGTCTTCCCCTAGACCAGCATTCCTCCACAGTGAAATGAGCTGGTGCCTCCCCTCCAAGCTCTCATCATCTAACATTGCAAAAGGAGGGGCCCAAATGGGAGCCTGAAGAGGAGGAAGAGCTTTCTGGAACAAACGGCACCTGACCCGAAATTAAGAAGATGAGTAGGATTTACATTTACAAAATGTATTTGGGATTTATTTTACAGAGCTTGCCCGAAGGCATCAAGAAAGCAAGCTGGAATCTGTGTTTGGGGACTACCAAGCGGTTCCTAAGGCAGGCTTCTAACTGGACCCAGGCTGGTAAAGGGGAGCAGAGGAGAGGATGGAGGTGGGGCGGTGGGACCCACCAAATCCTCTTTCCCTGCCCTTTCTTCCTCAGCTATGCATTTCTGGGATTCTAGAACTTACTGTCCTTTGCTGCTTTACTTTCTCTTGCACATTAAACATTCCAAATTTCAAAACGGTCTTGGTCAGTTATCAGAACAGGATTTCTGCATTAAACGTACACTCTTTCGTATTTGAGATGTGCTATATTCCCATCATCACCAGGACGTGCGTTTCGGGTTATTTTCTGGGAGCATGGACGGGCCTACCCTAATCCATCCATGCTGCGCCCCCCCGTAGTGCACATCTACTCTCATTCTTGGCCAGGGTCAAGGGTCAAGTGAGCGTCGGGGAAGAGGAGGAACACGGGCTCTGCTGGAGGCAGAAGCTGGGGCTCAAGTCCTGGTTGGCCCACTTACTTTCCAGTTTAGCAATTTGGGGCAGGCCTCAGTTTCCATATCTGTCACATGGGGGTAACAATTCTCATCTGTCTACCTCTGTGTTACTGATGTATGAAAACGGGATGGTGTTATAGAACTGTTCATAAATTTTGAATCACCAAGAAAATGGAGGTTCCAATTTATCTCAGAGGTAAAAATCGCTAAGTCCCTACTGAACATGTGCAAGTAAAGAAGGATTTTCAAAGACAGTAAAAGAACAAGTTTCAGTGTTAGCATAAGGTAAAAGAAGTGTGTAGCAAATTAAGAGCAATAAAGCACACTCTAGATGTTTTTAAATATTCTTTCAAGATGATTTGGAATTTTTAAACACATGGAGGGAAACTCCTGCTCAGTTAACACAGGAAGATGTCTTCATGGACCTCATGTCAAACAACAAGGGACCAAATCATCTACTGCCTTGACACACTGAATTACTTGGTCGGGCAGTGAGAGCACTAACACCAGATCAACAGCACTCAAAGAAGAAGGGAGACTGACATTCAACAACTCTTAGTATATGCCTGAATCCTTTCGAGAGGTCTCGAGTAGACGGGCTTCTCATCCCCTTCCAGGGGTGCAAGTGGAGTATCACAGAACTTTCTGAGTCTTCAGCAAGGCATCCTCTTCAGGAACTGGGCACGGGCACATTTCTAGCACCTACTGTGCGCCCCAAGCCACAACCAGAGCCCATTCTAGCTAGGAGGTGCGTGGCCTTGGTTATCCCTAGGGCTGGGACCTGGCGACACTCCAGCTTGGGGACACAGTGAACCGTGGTGGGCGGAGGGGACAGAACCAGGAAAAGCAGATCCCTGAACTATTTCCACGACTTCCCATGAGAGCACATGGGACTCTCTCAGCTCTCCATTTCACCTAGCTCAACGTGTGGGGATGAACACGTGCTGTCCCTTCTCTAAAACACCCCTCACTTAAACACATCAACAACGATTAATTGCCTCGTTGCCTGGGCATCGACGCAAAGGAACAGTTTTGCTCAGCAAAGCTTATACTTTATGAGGCAAATACCATTTCTGAGCCACCATACAATGTGTTCATCCAGGATCTAGCCTAATACGAATGTGAAATGAACAGGAACTGGAAATATTCACACCTCAAAGCCTCCCCCCCTCAATGCATTCTCCACCTCCCCAAGGACAAATGCTAAGCTCTTGATCAAAGCTATGAAAGACACACATGGGATGGTGTGGGACACCATCAACGACGTGGTCTAAACAATATCCAGGCCATTGATCATACTCCTTTCCCTGGCATGGCAGATTCCTATGACAGATGGTGCTGCTTTGATTTTAATTTTAAATTGAAAAAAAAAAAAAAAAAGTTTAAAAATTACCCCCTGGAGCCGCTGGGTCTGGGGCCTCTGCTGTCAGCAGCAATGGGAAGCACATTACTATATCCTGGCAGGAAATCTCACTTCCTGATGACAGACCCATCTGCGGGGCTGGTCTGGACAGTCACATGTCACAGTGTGACTCTGACATGTGAGGAGACGGGGAGGTGAAGTTTTAGTCCTGAGACAGATTAAAGTCAGCTGCTTTGAGGAATGAAGAAGAGGCTGCATTTCATTGTCCACACAATCACAGCTAAAAACTTGGGGCTCTGAAGTCTGAAGGGCATTATTTTCAAATAGAGAAGAACCAAGGACCGATTCTTCCGCATTAAGTAAAATGGGTCACATTTTGCTCAAATTGCTAGACCGGGTGTTTTTCTCAGAGCCTTCCATACATATCGCTGATCGACGGTGGTGTTTGGAAAACACAGATGCACGAGCAGGAAATGAAGGAAGAGGACAGGGAGAATGAAATGAGTGTTTCCCCCGGTGCATGCCAGAGCCAGCAACATCAACAGGCATCTGTGACAGCAATTAGCAAAAGCTCTGAGATCAGAAACACAGTCACCACTGAGAGAAAATGCCATCCGGCACCCAAGATAAAGGACCGTGAGCCAGCATACCGGCCCCGCCACACCCTGTGTGGGGTGGGTCTCTCTCTACTTACGCTCTGCTCAGAAAAAAACTTTTTCCCGCAGAGCCTGGGGAAGAGGCTGTGACCCTGCTTCCCGGATATTAAGACTTGCTGAGCTGTGAGAGAAAATAGGGTATACTAAAAAGAAAAAGGACCCGGAGTCAAAGGTCTTGGGTCCTA